GCTGAGTGCTGGTAGCTCATGCCTGTAATCCTAGCTACTCAGGAGGCTGAGATCTAAAGATCACAGTTCAAAGCCAGCCTGAGCAGGAAAGTTCCTGAGACTCTTCTCTCCAATCCAATTAACCACCAGAAAACCAGAAGTGGCGCCATGGCTCAAGTGGTAGAGCACTTGCCTTGAGTTGAAATGCTCAGGCCCAGAGTTCAAGCCCCTTGACCAAAAAAAAAAGAAAAGAAAAAAAAAGAATTCTCTGATAAAAGAGAACTTTTGTAAAACTGTGACTCTTAGAATACACAATTTTTAAAATATTCTAGCTAGTGAAATGTAATTACCCATAAAGCACTTCTGTTGCATGCCTGGGTACAATGGCTGTATTCAGGTAAGGTACTTGCACCACTATTGGAGTTGGGAACTAAACCATCCACATTTTTTATAGAGCGTTATTTTTTGCCTGAATGAATAAATGGCAAGCTGGCATTTAAATTTGGGTCATTGTCAAACATTTTCTCAAGAATTAATAAAGTAAGATCATCAAGGAAAACAATTGAAAATGTCTGTTACCAACGATAAATATACTAAGCGTTTAGTGAAAGTATTTAGAAACTGGGCACCTGTGGCTCACACCTATAATCCTAGTTACTAAGGAGGCTGAGATCTGAGGACCACAGTTCAAAGCCAGCCCAGGGTTCAAGCCCCATGACCAAAAAAAAAAAAAACCACAAGAAAAAAAAAAGAATTTTCAAAAACTCATATATCAACCTTAGTGAGCTAATTGCTTTTCCATACTTAGAGCCTTTTATGATGGAATTAATATTGTACAAAATGGAATGTGACAAGATTTGGAGATTTGAATAAATCAATGATTTGATATTTTTCAAATGCATGCCATTGCAAAATTAATCATACATAGGTAAAAGATCCATTCAAAAGACAGCTTGCTCAGTGGATTTCCTTGAGATGATTTTAGAGTCTATACTACAACTAACTTTCAGAAAGTATCACTTGTTAAGTGTAGGCTTAATATCAAAGAAAAACATCTATTGTGACCTGAATAGATTATGAGACCAGATTTTATTTACATATTTCAAAAAATAAAATACTGGCTGGGAATGTGGCTTAGTGGTAGAGTGCCTTGCATGCATGAAGACCTGAGTCTGATTCCTAGTACCATATAATCAGAAAAAAGCCAGAAGTGGTGCTGTGGCTCAAGTGGTAGAGTGCTAGCTTTGAGCACAAAGAGGGTCAGGGACAGTACCCAGGCCCTGAGTTCAAGCCTCAGGATGGAAAAACAAAACAAAAGTACTACATTAAGTGAAGAAGCAGATATAGGATGCCATTCTCATAAAATTTTTAAAAGTTTATGAATATATAATTATTCTTTATAAAACATAGTTTGATACAGCATCAGTTTATTATATTTTAAATAAATAATTTAAATTCTCCATATGGTAAATGTCAATACTTACAGCTACAAACTAAAAGTTTTTGGTGACATCAATACTTTTTTTTATACCAGTACTGGGGCTTGAATTCAGGACCTGGACACTATCCCTGAACTTTTGTGCTCAAGACTAGCACTTTATCACATGAGCCACAGCTCCAGTTCCATCCAGCCTTTTCTGTTGTTGTTGTTGTTGTTATTGGAGATAAGAGACTCACAGACTTTCCTGCCCAGCCTGAGTCTGAACCACAATCTTCAAATCTCAGCCTCCTAAGTAGCTAAGATTAGAGGCATGCACAACTAGTGTGTGGCTTCCATAATTTTCTAGAATGTGAAGTGGTTCTAAGATTGGGCTGGTTTCATTTGGCCATTTGCAGGGTATAATGTTTATGGACAAATATAGAAATAAGCGATCATTTTCTAGTTAGGGCAGGAGGTGGAACATTGTTAGGTTAGAAATTCAAGAGCTACAGCCAGCACCCAAAGAGTTCATTGTTACAGTTAACAGCTCAGTGTTAACAGATCAGGACCCCTCTTCCAAAGGCATCAAGCCAGTCTTTTTTTTTTCTTTTCTTTTCTTTTTTGTCAGGGTGATGTCTGCATTGAAAAAAACCTAATAGCTGAAGTCATTTTTGCTTAGGAATCCTGTTTGTTCTCTTTATGTGAGTCTCCATATAGATTAGGGAGAGATTGGGTCTTTGTGATTCAAACAAGGCAAAAAGTAGTTGCAACTTGATATTAACAGGGCTCACAATTTCTGATCAAGAGTCCTTTTAAAAAAGAATAAAAAAGTGTTTTAACAATCCATTGCTTGCATGGTACCATAAGCAAGTGCAGACATTCAGCTTAAGGTTGACGTGGGAACTCCTCAGATGTCTCTCTCATTTCCAAAGACAGCTCTGAGGTTCAGGACTTTTTGGATTCTTGCCCTCTTATCTGAGGGTAGACTGCAAAATCAGAGTACTGTTTAGACATAATAAATACTTGGATTATGAAATAAAAAACTAGGAGAAACACTTTAGTCTCCTTGATGCCCTGAGATTTCCATTTCACTGGGAATGAAAAAAATCAAAGTATGACCTAACTCAAAAATGAGTTGGCATCCAAAAGGTAAATAAAACAATTAAGGCTTCTGGTGGAAATCACTTCTGGAAAAGCAACAAAAACAACAACAGAATGCCCACAAGACAAAAAGATCACTAATGAGATCAGAATAAGAACTGAGGGCTAGGAATGTGGCTTAGTGGTAGAGTGCTCGCCTAGCATGCATAAAGCCTTGGATTCGATTCCTCAGTCCACATAAACAGAAAAGGCCGGACGTGGCACTGATGCCCTAGTGGTAGAGTGCTAGCAAAAGAAGCTCAGGGACAGTGCCCAGACCCTAAGTTCATGCCCCAGGACTGGAAAAATAACTGACTGGGAGCCACTTTTTAAGTAGACTCTTTGGTTCTCTTTGTGGATGTGGGTATGTTAGTACTGGAGCTAGAACTCGGGACCTAGGCACTATCCCTTAGCTTTATCACTAAAGGCTGGTTCTCTACCACTTGAACCATAGCTCCATTTCCAGCTTTTTTGGGGGGGGGTCTGGTGGTGGGGCCTGAACTCTGGGCCTGGGCGCTGTCCCTCAGCTTTTTTTTCTTTTTTCTTATGTGGTGCTGAGGAATCGAACCCAGGGCCTCATGCATGCAAGGCAAGTGCTCTACCACTGAGCCACCTTCCCAGCCCTCCAGCTTTTTGATGGTTATTGGAGATAAGGAGTCTCACAGACTTTCCTCCCAGGGCTGGCTCTGAACTTAGATCCTCCGGTGTCAGCCTCAGGAGTAGTTAGGATTACAGGCCTGAGAAACCCCCTGTGTATCTACCTAGGTCATAAATGACCACTTAGCTTCTTCAAAGACGAAATCAAAGAATAATGGTTTACGGTTGACTGGACCTGAATCTCAGGCGTGCAAAGTGGGAAGAGTATTTACTTTGTAAGGCCCTGGTGAAGACCAAGACAGTGCGCGGAAAGCCTTACACACTGGAAGTGTCACAAGCCATGGTCATCATCAGGAGGATTCTTTGTATTCCCATCTGTGAGCACTTTCTGCCCGGCCTGTTATTTCTGCACAGTAAACCCTTTCTTTCTCGTCCTTCATATCCCTGAGTCATCATCATTAAGATGCCGGGTTCCAAAGTCATCTCTCCTCCTCCGGCTCTCTAGGGCTCCCCCTCCTGACTACTGAGCTCTCACGGAGAGTGGGGGGGTAACTCAGACTGAAAATCTACCACTGCCAGTCTCTGGAGACGCGGCTACCTGTCTTACAGGAATGTCCTCAATTCCCTCGGCCCACAGATGAACCAAGAGACCGCGACGTGACAGCCGGAAGGGACTCAGCCTAGCCCCCGCGAAGAAGTGAGAAAGAGGCTGGGGGCGGGGCCACGCCCCGAGGTGAAAACGAGGCTAGGGGCGGGGCCGTGCTTCGCCGAGGTGTGAGTGAGAAACTAGGGGCGGGGCCACGCACGGAGGTAAGGCGCGTTGTGGGCGGGGCCACACTGGAGCAAGGAGGGCGGAGCCACTCAGCGAAAAGACTGGAGGCGAAGGGGGCGTGGCAAACACGGGGGGGGGCGTGACCTATCGGGATGCTCCGGGTATCTCCGCGGGTGGCGCGCAGCCGTCTTCCTACTGCCCCCCCCCCCCAACCCAGCGGCATGAGGCAACGTAGGGGTTAAAGGCGGCGGGCGCCACCTGTCTGTACGCCGCTGAGGAGACACGCACGCCAGCGAATCCCGCGCGGGCGCCGAGAACAGGTGCCGCGCGCGTCAAGCGCCGGCAAGGGGCGCGGCCGGAAGGCCGGGGCGGGGTGCGGCCGGGCCGGTGTGTGCGTGCGTGCGTGTGTGTATGTGTGTTTGTGTGTGCGGTGTGCATGTGAGAGGAGCCGGGGAAAGGCCGGAAGGGGCTCCCGGGCTGCTGTGCGGCGCGCGATGTGGAGCCGCCGCCTCGGCCCCTGCAGCAGCAGCAGCCGCAGCAGCAGCAGCCGCCGCCGTCGCCGCTGCTGCCGGGGCTGCTGCCGAGTGGAGGGACATGGAGCGCGGCTGCAGAGCGCGGCCGCCGGCAGCAGCAGCGACAGTCCCCGCGAGCATCGCCGCGACCGAGGAGCGCAGCCCGCTCCGTAAAGCGCTGCCGGCTCGGCGGCGGCAGCAGCGACCGAGGCAGCAGCAACAGGGCGGCTGAACACCGGGCGGCGGCGGCGGCGGCGGCTTTCCTCCTCGCACCCTCCGCTCTCGCTTCGCGCCCCCTCGCCTTCACTTCCTCGGCCTTCCCTTTCGCTCCCCCCTCCCTTTTTTCTCCCTCTTCCTCCTCCGCCTCCTCCGCCTCCCC